CTAATTGAAACAGTCATATCCCTCACCCCGTTTACTAGAATAAAATATTTGCCGCAATTGTTTTTTAAAGTAAATTCACGTCTCGGTCACTGTTTGTGTGTCTCCATATTACCCACTTTTTTGTCCGTACTGTGTGGACGCGGATGTGGTTCCCCCCTGCTTGCGGGGGGGTCAGGGGGGTTCCGCGCCAAGGGAGGACTTGGAAAGTGGGTGAAACGGTGCACAAACAGACTGTTTGAGTGCAACCTTCAGAGCCTTTTTTTCAATATATATTTCACTCAGTTTCCACTAACTCGAGGTGAATTGTCGGCATTTCTTGATTTCGGAAACCATACCAAATATTTACTATTTTTACATTTACTATATTTTTAATTAAAATGTTATTCAAAATAGTAAATAAACTGTTTATTGGAAAAGGTGAGGGAATAGTCTGTCGTTAATAACCAATACAAACTACAAAATGATGAACTATATTAATATAATAAATTAATTATAAATAAAATATACAAAATCTTTATATTTAAATCGAAAAACCCCATAATTTTTTTAATACTATGAGTTGTTATATTTCATATTGTTTATTAATCTTATTGACCTTCTCGTGTTGCCTTTAACATATAATGACAATCAAATGGAGGCCAAAGATTTTAAATCCTTTTAATTACTGATATAGAATCAGTAAGGTTGGGGGATCTAATATTTTATATTTATATTTTGATTAATTATAATATATTTTAATGTATTAACAAATTAACACTCGAAATAGTTACTATAATTTCAATTGTGTTTTAATTTTACTTTAATCACAATTATTATTTTAGAAAATGCTTTATTAATCAAATTATAGAATGATAATAAGCAAAACAATAAAATTTTTATTTAGAAGAAATACTGTCATTTTTCATAATTAACATTTAACTTATTGAATTAGACAAAGTTATTAAATGAGTGCAACAACTTTTAAATAAAGATTTACTATATATTATATATATAGTACCATTGGTACAAAGACATCACAGTTGAATGTGATTCATTATGTATTAATATTTTAAATAATAGAGATTGTGAATTTCTATTATTCTTAACCTAAAAAAATAATGTGTTTAATTCTACAATAATATACAAAACGTGATATTTTTGCTTTTAATATATAGTGAATGTCGACAATTTACATACATTTACCACAAAATGCATAACTGTTTGAAAATTATCAAATATTGTGTTTTGAGTATTTAACCGTTATCTACTAAATATTTGTATTTTGGATATTAGAGTTATTTTTAAGTTCTAAACTACAAAAAAGTCAATATATGACTTCATTTTAAACCAAAAAATCAATGTTTTAATTGAAAAAAGAACATAAAATGAGTAATCTTTTGAGCATTTTTAATAAAAACGGATTACTATGACTGAAATCGGATTGGCCAATTATATAAACAACTTTTTGATTAAATGAATTCAGTAAAACAAAATGGAGAAATGTGAACACCACAAATGCCGCAAGGAAAAGCGAGAAGCCGAGAAACAGCGCATTAAAAATGAAGAGAAGCTTAAAACGGACTTTGCAGAGTTCAAGAAGACTCTGACTTCAGAACAACAGACTTTAATTGACGAGTACATCAAATACGAAACTGAGAAAGACGAGTCTTCTTCTTCAGACATTGACGAAGATAGTGATAAAGACTACGATAAGTGTCAAAGAAGACATGAGAAGTGTCCAATGGATAAAGAGAGAAGACAAATGAAGAGAATGTGGAAATGGCAGATGATGAACCAAATGTATAACAGACCACCTCCACCACCCATGTGTTGCCCACCACCTCAATTTGGATATGACCAAATGGGATGCGGTTTTAGTAGAAGACCATTCCATCAACCATTTTATGGGTATTGCCCACCTCCACCTCCTATGATGGGACAAAATCCTTTCGGATGCAATCAAATGTGCTTCCCACCACCACCACCTTTTGGTCGATTTGGAGGTTGGGAAAGAAGAAGACGACATCACCCACAATTCTAAAGTTGATCAACTAATTCGCTCTTAATAACAATTTTATTATTAAAAAAATAGAATGCTTTACATATAATAAAAATAAAGAATTGATTGTTATAATTAAATTAATACTTAGAGTCTGTCTAATAACTATATCGGATAGTAATTAAAAGGCTGTGTTTGTGTACATAAAATGAGAATTGAATTAAAACTCAAAATAAGCAAAAAACTAAAATTATAGAATGAATTTTTTCAAATACTTACCGAAATTACACACTAGGTTCGGTCCAAAAGGTATCAACTTAAGTATATGAGCTAACAACTTTGTTTAATAAATAATTTTTGTTTTTATTAATTAATAATAATAAAAAGAATAATAACAAATTTATTATTAAAACAAAGTATTATAATTATAATAAAATAAATCAAAAATGATAATAAAAATTGTTAAACAGTTGTAACAAGTAAAAATCGTTCAGTTAATTAAACAATTGTTTTTATTTGTGTTATCACTGTTAATTTTTTCATTAATTACTTGTGGAATAAAAACTTCATTTTGGGTATACAAATCCATTGCAACTGTCGTTAACATATTAGCCAAAGAATCAATATAGGCGCCAGTCTCTATATACAAACACCCATTCTTCTTTGCAAATTCTTCTGCTTTGTGTTTTGGGATTTCTCTTTCATCAACCAGATTTGCTCGTGTACCACAAATAATATATTTGACTTCTTTAGTAATTTCGAAATCTTTAATAAATTGTTTTGATTCATTAATAATGCTTTGAAGACTCTGAAACGAGGACGATAAAATGACTGAATAAAAGAATACACATACATCAACATCTCTATAATGTCATTATTCAAATATTTATACTTCAATTGTTTTTATAATGTTATAATAATTTCTATATTT